GCTATCGTAGACTCGGACCCACCCTCATGCAAATCCGTGGCGCAAAAGCGTCTCAGAATTGGTACAGGCTGCGAATACCATCAATTGGTACCCGACGTCCCAGGAGTGTACCGTGCAAGAAAGATGGAACGCAGTTTAAAGAGGGTTAACTAATCTCACAGAAAGGTTCGCGCCACTGAGTGAAGGACGAACAAGACATCGACCAATATGGTGGAAATCCGGGATAGGGGGGCGCGGAAAATCCGCAGACAATACTGAGATCGCACTCAACAAGTCTGGAGTGACTGTAAGCGAGCGCAAAACAAATGTCAAAACCTCCAAAGGTGTGTCAAATATGACTTCGAGGTTAGGTTAGCACGAAGCGTCAAAAAGAGTCCCAAAAGCTTCCATGCGCACGTGCAATCCGTGTGATCACGATAAAGCGGAAACCCAACTTAAGCTCTTCAAGAGCGTGTATAGGACCCTAGTCGACTATGATAACCTGGGTTTAGCAGGATCACCTGATACGTCAGAGTTTGCCGATATTGTCATCTGTGAAACAGATGTACATCGAGAACTCCAGACGCTGAACAAGCGCAAGGCAGCAGGTCCGGATGGAATCCACCCTGCTGTAGTGCAGCCGCTGGCCGGGGTGCTAGCCGGGTCGCTGACTAATTTTTAAGTATTCAGTGCAAATTGCTACGCTACCCCAAAACTGGCGTACGGCTACCGTAGTAGCACTGCACAAAGCTGGACCGAAATATAAAGCAGAAAACTACAGACTCGTTAGCCTAACGTCAGTGTTGTGTAAGTGCCTGGGGCGACTAGTCAGAAGGCAGACTTGCCTACATCTGACTGGCAATCGACTCTTGTCACCGGCACAACATGGCTTTATGCAACGGAAATCATGTCTTACGAATTCCTAGAGGAAGTCACTCAACGTGTGGATGAGGAGAACAATGCAGAAGTTTGTTACTTAGGCTTCTGTAAATTATTTGACTCTGTCAGTCATCGATTGTTGGACTTCAAAGTTCGGAGCCTAGGCATAACAGGTAGAGCAAGGGACTGGATTGTAGGCTTTTGAGCAATCGCACCTTCTGGGTCAAGGTGGGTGGCTACATTTCTAACCATGAGATAGAAACAAGTGGGGTTCCCCAGGGTGCAGTGCTAGGCCCCTTATTTTTTCTCATATTCATCAACGATCTGGCACAGGATCTTCAAAATCCGTGTTGCATGTTTGCTGATGAAGTCAGAATGACTGGGTTAAACCTGCAAAGGGACCTAGACGTAGTCCATCGATGGTCGGTCAAGTGGGACCTACTTTTGCATATAAACAAGTGTCGGTTCTCAGCAACTGGAGTGGGAGGTTACTCCTTTAATGGAGCTCTCGTGCAACAGGCTCCACAGATGAGGGACCTAGGGGTTCGTATGAACCAGGATTTTAAACCCTCAACTGAGTGCTCCAAGGCTGCAAATCAAGCTAGGGGGCAGCTGTTCAGGCTGTGTGCTACAGTAACATGCAGACGGCCTGAGGATTTTGTCCCACTGTATAAACCGATTGTTCGCCCATGAAATATTGTGTGCAGGCATGTGTAGAAAGAGTGCAGCGCCTAGCTACCCGAATGGTGGTTGGGCAAAAGGTGAAGATCTATGAGCAGCGGTTGAAAGATCTTGATCTCTTTTCGCTGGAGCGTAGAAGAGTACGAAGAGATCTGGTAGAGATTTTTAAAATCGAAGGAAGTCTATCGGGACTCAACCTAGATGACTTGTTTACCATTTATAGTACTCAAAACACGAGAGGTCATGGCTATATACTTCAGCAGAACCACGCCAGGTTGGAAGTACGGGTCAACTTCTTCGCACATGAGGTCATGCCTGTGTCAGGTCAGGTCAGGTCAGTCCAGGTTGCACAGGACGGTAAAGGCTTTCGCCTATCGAGCGTCCAGATTATTGCTCCAGTCGGAAACACGTCTTCCGGAGCTTCGAATTCTTGTGGACCGTTTGACCACAGCCGATTTCTTCGTTTCGAGCTGTCTCCCTTGGCGCGTCCGTATCTGCAAACGGAGGTTATTCGAACATGGTTAGCATAGACACCTACTGTCAATAGCAGGTACCCTACAAGATCTCTGGATACAGGCTCGTCCAGACCTCATCTAGCTGACTTTTGAACTCGTCGACTGTCCTCCCATCTATTAGTGAAGATGGTAGCTGATTCTACTCATCTATCACTCTACTCGTGAAGAAGTTATACCTAAGGTTAAGTCGGCTCTTGGGCTTCATTAACTTCAAATGATGCCCCCTGGTTGACTCAGACAGTGCTCGGATAAACCGGCTTTCAGCTTCTAGCCCAGTCCGTCTCTTCATTATTTTGAAGGTTTCAATCATGTCGCCTCTCAGGCGTCTTTTTTCCATGGAGAAAAGCCTTAAGGATTCTAACCTATCCTTATATGACTTACCCCTCATTCCCGCGATCATTCTAGTAGCTAACCGTTGCACCCTCTCGAGGCAATTTA